AGTAATCTCGCATGTAAAATAGAAGCTCGTCTGCTTAGTGAGGAATCTAAGAAACGGTTGTACTTTAAAAGATGCAATAAATTATTTAATGTATGTTTAAAGACAGATAACGAGTCTAACTGTCTTTAAGTTATATCTAAAGACAGATTATTCCATAAATTTATAGCTGATGAAGGAAAGAAAGATGTTTTAAACATTTCCGTTCTACACTGAAAAGTTGAAAATTCAGTAGCTGACCTCAAACGAACATTCGATCCATCACCTCTCAATGGCACCAAATCACTAATATAAGCTGGAGTCATTCTATTTACAGACTTATAGAAAAAAATATTTTATGAATTTTTCTTCTGGTTTTCAGCTTTACCCAGGCTAGTTCCTCACGTAATTTCCAAGCACTGGTGCCTTTAATTGCACTAATCTTGTAATAATTTTAGCAGCATCATATTGAACGCTTTCGAGTAAATCACTATTTCCTGATGTACAATTATCCCAAACAATATCAGCATATTCCATTTGTGGCCTTATCAAACTTGTATACAAACATCTAAGAGTAGACCTATCTAGATGGAATTTGAATGATTTCATCACATTTAATCGTTTAGAGGCTTTTTCATAAATTTACAACACATGCTTATTCCAAAACATATTAGGGCCATTTATACGTGACAAAATAAGTCGCGACTTACATAAGACGCGACTTAAATAAGTGGAGTTATCGCATAAATGGTTCTCTACGGCTTTGGTCTTATTTATTTGCTATAGCTATAATGTTGTTTTGTTTGTTTTTGTTTTAATATGCAAGGCTAATAATTTTATGTTGTTTCAAGTTTCTGGCATATGTAGTTAGACTTTTTGTCCAAAATTTCTTATTTAAGACGCCAGGGGTAGCTGGCCGGGGTTAGGGTTTGCGGTTAGGTTGCGGGGTTAGCAGGTGGGGTTAGGGGTTAGGGGTTAGAAGGTGGGGTTAGGGTTAGGGGTTAGGATTAGGGTTAGGGTTAGGGTTAGGGTTTGAGTTAGGATTAGCGTTTGGATTAATTGTAAATCCATTGTAACCAATACTTTATTGCATACAATGGCATTACAACGCCAATAAATTATTGGTTACAACGTGCGGAACGGCTGAAATGGCCCTATTGTTTTGAAATGTAAGACACAGATGGGTATGAGAACTAACTTCTTCAATATCCACACCTCTCGATGCAAGTTCCGGATTATATATTTTGTCTCTTTTCAATGAAAACAACATAGATCTAGTTTTTGAGGGGTTCATAGTAGTAACCAACCACTTATCTGACCACTCAGAAATCTTAGCTAAATCGTTATTAAGATTTTCAGCTGACTCATCAGGATCATCTACGACCTCAAATAGAGTGGTATCATCAGCATAAACAAAAGGCTTCGATTCAAGATTATCTGTAATATAATTTACATATATTAAGAACAAAAGTGGTCCTAGTACTGAACCTTGAAGTACACCCGAATATATTTTTTCCATTCCGATGATTGACCCTCGAGAACGACACGTTGCATTCTATCCTGCAAATAGCTTTCAAACCAATGCAGTAAAGAACCACAAATACCAAGCGATTCTAGTTTTTTTTAATAATCCGCGATGCCAGACATGGTCAAACGCCTTACTTATATCTAAATACACAACTCTTACTTCTTTTCCTTGCTCAAAGGCGAGATAAATCTGATGAACTATATACAACAATTGATTTACTGTTGAGTCTCCAGGTCTGAATCCTGATTGAAAACGATAAAGAAAATCGATTTCTATCAAGTAGTCATATAATCTTTTAAAGGCAACTTTATCACATAATTTTGATAAACAAGGTAAAAGTGAAACTGGACGATAATTGGTTTTAAAGTGTCGATTTTTCTTTTTATATAAAGGAATAACATTGGCCAATTTCCATTGCGAAGGGTATTTTCCTAACACAAATGACCGATTTATTAGTGTAGTAAAAGATGGTCACAAGCTTTCTGCGCACAGTTTAATTATTCTATTTCCAAAACCATCACATCCATTCGCCTTGGTAACATCAACATTTTGCATTAATCTAAAAATTTCTTCCTCTTCCACTGAAATAGTAAAAAAATCCCGCGCAGAAGGATGTAAATGTACGAATGGCGGCAGAGTGTCCGCCCCAGGGAGCCGACCCTCATGCGCTACAAAATAGTCATTAAAAATGCTCGCCTTTTCCCCAGAGTCAACCACCGGAACATCATTTTCTATTATTGTTGGCACTAGGGAAACATTATAGTTGACCCACAAAGACTTTTAGTAATAGACCACCACCTTTTAGAATATATATTAGGATTGCGTATATCTTTATTCAACTTATCGTAATAAAATTGTTTTACGGACCTAATTAAGTTCGTTGTAAAATTACGTTGCCTTCTGTAAGATTCCCAAGAATAATCTGATCGCCTAATATTATGAATATGTAATAACCTATCACGTTTACGAATAGCTCGGCGAACCTCATTATTCATCCATGGTTTATCCCTCGGCCGTATGACAACAGATTTTAATGGTATATAATTTTTGACAACATCATAAACCGTTTTGAACCATATCTCATAAATATAGTCAATATCAAATACAGTATCGAAAAGCGATCCCCAATCATGATTCAATAGTAATGCATCATCTAAGCAGAAGTATTTACATTACTAAAATCCCAAATCTCTCTTTCAAAACATTTTTTTTTAGAAATACCAATCTTCATTTGAGCAAAGATAAGCGAGTGGTCACACATAGAAGAAGAACTACGAGTTCCCGATTTATTAAAAATATTTGGACAATTTGTAATCAAAACATCTAAAATTGTTGCTTGATGCCTGATAATTCTTGTTGGCTCATTAATCAATTGTGTCAATTATTCAAGTCCCTTGGAATAACCAAATTATATTTTCTCGGTAACAATCGTATAATGTCAAGAGTTAACAATATATTAACACTTTAACTCCTGTTACTAATGACATAATTATAAACAGATCTTTCATATTCACTGATACAATTTACGTAAATATGCCAGATGTAACAAGATAAAAGGTTCTTAACCCAATATCTCAATCACGTACGAGAAGTGTGTTAAAGCCTTGCATGTTCGTATTATGTCTATGATTGCAGAAATTTTTGAATTGCTCGACAATATACCCTTTCGGAGTTCCGTGATTGAGATATTGGTTATAAAGCATTTAATTCCTGTTACACTGATGACATAATTATAAACAGATCTTTCAAATATTTTCCTCATGTAACAAGATAAAAGGCTCTTAACTGAATATTCCAATCACGTACGAGAAGGGTGTATTAAGGCCTTGCATGTTCGTATTATGTCTATGATTGCAGAAATTTTTGAATTGCTCGACAATATACCCTTTCGGAGTTCCGTGATTGAGATATTGGTTATAAAGCATTTAATTCCTGTTACTGATGACATAATTATAAACAGATCTTTCAAATATTTTCCTCATGTAACAAGATAAAAGGCTCTTAACCGACTATTTCAATCACGTACGAGAAGGGTGTATTAAGGCCTTGCATGTTCGTATTTGGTGAAAGAGGAAAACTGGATTACCCGGAGAACAACTGTTGAAGTACAGGGGAAACCCAACCAAATTCTACTTACATAAGTTTTCAAGCAGTATAAAGGCTAACCCAACCTTGGTAAATACTCTCAGACCTGCAAACTCTCACGTTTTAATTTTTTTGGGTTTTTTTTCGTTTTTCACGTTTCAACGTTTTCCCGTTTTTTCGCTCTTTTAACGTTCTTTCGTGTTTATCCTGATGATGACTGAAATATAGTCGAAACGTAGATAAATAAAAATGTCTCACGTTTTGATAACCATAATTTAAGAAGCAACAACTAATTAATGCTGATCGAGGTTGGCCAAACCGAAAACTAATGCAACGAAAAGTCGTTCAGTTACGTACGCCGCTGCCAACATCTGGAACTCACAGAGTATTTCAGAAAGAAACAAAGTAATTAACTTGATTCAAGGAATTGTTATAGTGGGTTGTAGCGGATTAAATGTATTAGATGTGTAATTATATATTGTCCTGGAGCCGGTTGTTCAAAGGTGGATTTGCGCTAACCCAGTGTTAAAATTTAACCTGCTGTTTTAGTTTGTGCATTTCTACACGTATGTTTATTTCAAAACTTCAGAGAAGTAAACTCCGATCCAGACAAGATCTCTGAAGAAATATTTCAAAATTTAATTATAGACAAGCTGTCTCCTAGTTTGCTTTGAATTTTAGCTTAACCTAGGGTTAAGCTAACCCAGCTTTGAACAACCGTCCCCTGTACCGTATTGATATTATTCTAATTTTAGCCTAATCACACGGTCTTTTGAAAAGCAGCATATATTGCTGAAAATTTACCGTGTATAAAGATTTTTAAATAATAATAATAATAATAATAATAATAATAAAGTTTTCATCTGGAGACTCGCGATTTTCGATGCTTTCTCGCGGTCTCAGCACAAAGTTTGAAGTGTATTTATAGGCTTAGAATAGGTAACAAGCTTTGGTTGGTATGGATGCAGCAGCTAACTAAAAAATTACAAAGCGAAATTTGACGTTTCGAACGAAGCCCCTTCATGCAGAAGTCAGTAGTAGTCTCTACTATATTTTAAACAGATCTTTCAAATATGCCACATGTAACACGATAAAAGACTCGTAACCGGATACTTCAATCACCTACGAGAAGGGTGTATTAAGGCCTTGAATGTTCGTATTTGGTGAACGAGGAAAACTGGATTACCTGGAGAAAATCTGTTGAATTACAGGAGAAACCCAACCAAATTTAACTTTACATCAGTTTTCGAGCAGTTTAAAGGTTACCCAACCTTGATAAATACTCTCCAAACCTGCAAACTCTCACCTTTTATTCATCTGGAGACTCGCGATTTTCGATACTTTCTCGCAATATTGGATTCGTTCTCGTGGTCTCAGGACAAAATTTGAAGTGTATTCATTCGCTCGGTACGGATGCAACTAACAAAAATAATACAAAGCGAAATTCGACGTTTCGAAAGAAGGCCCTTCGTGGGGGAAGTTAGTTGTAGTCTCTGCTAATTTTCCCACGAAGGGCTTTCGCAAGAAACGTCAAATCTCGCTTTGTAATTTTCAGTTAGTTGCATCCATACCAAAGAAAGCTTGTTATTGTTGGCACTATTATTATTACCTACACTTGCACAAACCGTTCAAGATTATAATAGGCAATACAACCCTTGTTTTGTAGAATTTTGTTTGAAGACTTTCTATAATACAGTACAAATGAGCAGTATGTTTCGCAGAGACATTCCATGATTCAAAAATTTGAGCTAAATGTAGAGCGGACTTTTTCATACATTCAATCCATAACAAAAAAAAGGAAACATGGCAAATTTCTAAAATCTCACGGTTCTGCACAAAATCACACGACTTTGTAAAATGCAACTCACGATTTCTAGGGTTAACGTTGGCACGTCTGCATGTACTTTACTCTCGACCTACAGTATAGCAGATTTAACTGAATTAAACTTACCTTGGGCCAATGAAATAGCCATGCCAAGTAACATGGGAACAAAAGAGGGAACAAAAGAGCTGATTCCAAAAATCTTTTTGGTAGTCTAGAATAAATTCAAAAAGTGAAAATATTATGGTGATTTATTAAATCTGCTGCCGTTTGTGCATTGTGCAACTACTTGAAAATAGAACAAACTTCGATGTTTCAATCGTTGTGACCCCGAGATACAAGTTTTTGAAAAACAAAAAGAAGGTAATATTTCGACTGCATTTCGACGCCATTGTGGTGTTTGATGACTTCGAAATACTTTCCAAATATATCACCGTGAATTTATGCCTTGTTTTTCAACAATCCTAATATTATCATAAAATGACATCATTAGGATTGTCCAAAACATCTTACCTGCATGCTTAAGATAGTGTATCATTAACAAAACCAGCTCCAGAATATACAGAACAGCACTAGCCAGCTGCCAGTTCGACTAATTCAAATGTAATATGGTGCGTAGAATAGAAAGCTTTTAGAAAGTTTTGCATGCGGAAACTCGCCAACGCACAAAGAAATTCTTCGTACCAGCTGGCATCTGGGGCGTAGCCATGTAGGCACGTAGCCATGTAGTTACGTAGGCTCGCAAAGCAGGCGTGTATCGTGTAAGGTCGTGTAGGCACGTAGGCGTATGGACCTTTTTTAAAACGGGTTCCTGTTGGCGGGGGATTCTATAGTTATTCCGAATTACGCAATTGTCTGAACAAAAATATGGACTAGCCATACCTTTCGCCGAACATAACTTCAGCCCCTTCGGACGTATCTTCTCCGTTATAGTCTTGTTCGAATCGCTATCAAAAGCACTATTTAGGGTGCTATTTTTGAGCTTGTATCTTTAAACTTGGATTTTTTATTATCCTATTTCCATTTCTGGTCTGACTGTGAACTAATCCCAACCTGAAATACAATTTCAAAACATTTGGTTAATGATTAACATTTAACCGTTGATTGACAACTACCTAAAATACTAACGAATCCGTTTTTTCCGTTCACCAGTGGACGTACACCCAGGTTTGATGCAAGCGGTCTCTCCTTCGCCTCCCTAATTTTCGATTCCCGGAAAAAAGCTGCCTGCCACGCAGGCTATGCTTAAGATGATGTAACACAACCTCTTTTCCAGGGCTTTCGTGTGAGGAAGAGGGGAGAGACGAGAAAGCCCTGGTCTGGGCAGGTTACGTGACCACAAAAATATGGATATATTTGACAGCTACTCGTCAAGGAGTGGCGAGATATTCTTAACTGAAATATACAAGTTTTCGAAACAAATAAACAGCCAAAACAATCTCAATCGATATTATTTATGCGTAGCGAAGTTTGGCACGAATCTGCTGAAATCTCTGAAGACACAGTCGATGTTTTCTAAGATATACTGATATTTTTATCTGAGATTAAAATGAGAGATTTTTAACCACAGTGACAAGCAAAGCCAAAGGCACAACTGTATCTCAACATGATTTCCAAGCAACCTCGTACCCAGGGCTAGTCGCGAATTGAAGGCGGCGACATAGCCCTGGTAAACACTGGTCACGTGCCAGGCAAATACTCCAAGATTCTTGGAGTATTAGCCTGCGAGCGGGCTTTGTTGAAATAAAGACAGGGGGGCGACGAAAAGTTCACGAATGGAACTTGAATTGCCGCGGATTATTTATATTCTTTTATTTTTTGTTGTAATCTTTCTTCTTAATATGTTACGTTTATATATTACGTCGAATGTACATCTTCTTTTATGTAAATCGCCGAGGAGGCGATGTTTCGAATTTCGAAGCAGTGAAAATGGAGCCAATCTCGTACCTACTATTTGTGATTTTCCATCAAGTATAAAAAGGTACAGTATATATGAATTTGAAAATGTTTAGAAGTATTTCATTGTTACAAATTATTTAGCAGATTCCCATTATTTGTTACACTGTCTAGTTCTATGAAATATATATTTCAAGGGCTATTTACTGTAATATATTTTATACAGTATGTTAATATAGTTACATATTGTGAATATTGAGAAACACATGGCCAGACTATGGCCTATAATACTATACTCGGACCCTCAGTAAAGTTCTACTCTCACATGATTATTATTTA